TGCATACATGCAAATACACAGAACCCTTTTCAGTCACACTAATTATAATACGATTTCCTCTTGTCTTCCTAATTTTGACAATCTTTTGTAAGTTTCTGTTTTTTTTTTTAAGTAGTTCAATTAAAATATAAGAAAAAGGGAAAACTAAGAGAACTCAGATGCTGTGTATGTGGTTGCATACATCTTAACTGAACCCTTTGGCTTTGTAAAGCACAGCTGCAACAATCTGTTGTTGGCATTGGAGAAGAATGGTTCTGATTGGTTCACATGAAGACAATTATCCACGACTCTCCAGAAGATGGTGCCCTCACACTATCTTGTCCAGCAAATTCTCAGGCAATCTAGATTATGTGAAAGTCAAACCTTTGTCAGCCTTGAGAACTGTGAGTGGTGTTGTTAGACCAGTCATGTTACCTGCGGGAAAGCTTTTACATAAGCATTCTATACTGAAGCAATTTTGTCTTAATGGCACTAGCACTGAAAAGCTGATGTGGCTGATTCCTAAGGACTCCTGGGATCATATATCTCATCTTGAGACCGCTAACAAATACGTCATAACTCTGCACCAATGGGAGTTATTTTGCCAGCTGGACAGCCCTGTGCTGGAGAAGTAATCCCTCACGTTTTAGTGCAACCTAGGCTCCAGTGAATTTAAACATATGCATCTTTTATAAGCTTAGTTTAAATTTAATTTATAACTTTCTGGTGTGTTTTTTTGTTGTCATTTATTAAATAAATGTGATTGTTGTAAAAGGGCATTTGCTGCAGTGTATTATATCATAAAAGGGCCAGTGTCCATCTTCCCACAAGCAACATAATTGTAGTATGTTCACCCAGCTTAATAAAGTTTATAACACAAACAACATCCGTCAAGCTGTCGGTAACAAATTGTACATGTTAATACTCAAGAAGTGAAGTTAATCGTACAATTAATGTTGGGGTTTAAATAAGAGAGATTTATCAGGAGCAAGGCTTTCGTGAGAAGGGCCCCCGAGCCTTCTCACAAGCACTCTGCAAGCCTTATCTGTAGATGAAATGGAGAGTGACAAACACAAAGTAGAATTGATCATGGCTGCGTGCTTGGGTAGCTTACTTACTAAGGTGAATGTATAAGTATCTCCTTTTGTAAACTTGGCTGTTATGATTCAAATATTACACATTGTTTTCACAGATAATCTAAACCCGTTTCCTGTTTAAATGCCACTAATATTAACTCAGAATTAGACAGTTTATCAGACTTGCAAGCAGAAGGTTTAGTTCAGAAAGGCCACAGGACTCTAGCAAGGAACAATCCTGTGCCCTTTTTACAAAATGTATTTATAACACGGCCATCCCTCTGAATTGATCCTGCAACTTGACAGCAAGAGGTCTAGAGTAAAGAGTTGGCAGGTTTAAAGGAGAGTAAAGGAGTCGTATGGTGGCTATATTAGGAATGATGTCACGAGTGCAGTTGGACTTTATCTGCCTGCTTGAGTGTCCTGGATGGTGATCTCACCAGGTATAGGAATAGCGTGGAGAACGTCAGCCCTCAGCTGAGGTTTAAACAAGGTTCTGATACATCAAGAGTATGGAGTACACTGTAATTATCTGTTGACTGTTTTGCATAATATATTCTTCTGAGCTTTTCTCCCATTTCCCCTCTAGTTAGACACTAGTATTCATGTGTGTGTGATGGCTCCATTAACACCATCAACAAAGAGTATGCACTGCCCTTGTTATGCACAATGACCTGGCCGGCTTCTAAAGCAATCTAACTGTTGTTATTGAGAACAGGCTATTGGATGTTTTTTGTTCTTCTAAACTGAGAATAACCTAGCATAGTTTCTCTCACCCCCCACCTTTAACCCCTACTGTTGTAGCTGTTTTCCCGACAACACAGACAGAGAAAATGCTCCGAAAGGACAAAGCTTGGGAGAGCGTTTTAGGCTTAAACCACACACACAGTCTCTTTTTTGGTCTTTTGAACACCCTCTTTTGGGTTTAATTTGACTTTCGCCATGTTTCTTGCACTATCTTCATGTCGGGCTCTTTAGGGCTTTTAACATTGCAGTAAAACAGACCTTTACACCCTTTTGAATTGGCTGGCGATGCTCCAGGTCTAAGTGCAACAGCTACAAACCGCCATACTCGTTTGGCTGCCTCGACGAGCGCTGGCAACACGCTTTTAGGGATTGGTGGTCATGGAGAGAGGGAAAGGCTTGTTAAACCAACAGGGTGCTGTGGCCGGTTCTCATTGCTCCAAGTGTCAGGGAAGGTAAGGCGAGCAAATATATCACATTTCTTAAACCGTCTCAGATAGGAAAGGGCTCACTTGAGAAATGTTAAGTAAACGTAGGATTATAGGTTGTCTATGTTTTCTCCCTATTGTAAAACAAAGGCTGGCTAATGTGTGAAAACTTTGTAAAATCTTTCTTTAATGTAGTCTCATATGTGTTCTTCATATACAAAAATAATGTAATCATCAGCCCATTTTCCTGATAAAGTTATTTGTCGTTTTCTCAATGGATCCTATGTAAATCGGGTAAATGTGCTAGCATAGCAGTGGTTACAGTTGTGAGCCGTCTAGCCTGTGTCTTGTCTAGTTTCTTAAGATATACCAGAACAAAAGCGATTAAGAAATTGATTAGACTTATATGAATGTAAGTAATCTCTATTTCACGGAACATGTCATCATGGGAACAAATTACAGGCGTCACTGACCTTGTTGTTTATGCTAGTAGCTGTTGTGCAGTTACATTATATAAAGAATTATAATTTCACGGCTGCCTGCATGATCGTTTCTGAAAAGGTGCTAGAAATATTGTGTGTATTGGGATTAGTTCCCAATCCAAAGTATCGAGTACTTTTAAAAGTATTGTGGTGCTAAAGAGATGTTAAGCATACACATTATATTCTTTAGACTTGTTGTATGCATGTGTATAAGAATGTTGTTTGGTTAAGATCCTCGGCACAAATACACCATGATCATCTTTTCAGTTAAAAGTATGCAGAAATCATCATTCCAATATGGTAAATCCCTTCACATTGCACAATTGGTCAAAAATAATTCCAAATTCGTTATTGCTCATTTTTAGAAGCAAGTCTCGAAATGCCCCCATCATTTCATTTATGTCCATTTGAATCCACTTCTGTGTAGAATTTGATGTGCCTATGTCTGCTTTGAGATATCAGAAATGTTTGTACAACCCTTAAATAAGTCAAAGTGCTGTGACACATTCGATATGTGCTCCAGCAACGAAGTAATCAGGTCAGAAGTCAAGGCCCCGGACTGGCCATGACACAACCATTCAGGCTGGCCGCCTCCTACTTTGTAAATATGAAGTGGTCATTAAGAAACGCCACTTTTATGCCCTCCATCATTTATTTTTAGATCTAGATTGTGTTTCCACATTGCAACCTTTTAGATGTTACATTGGCTGCGATCACGCACCTGTTCACCCTTGATAGCTTTGGCCTTGAACACTTTTATAGGTTATCAGGCTGACTCAGTTTCTTCCTTTTGAAATAGGCTTGGCATGAAATGTACTTCCTTATTTCATTTCACTGGAAGATATTAGATAATCATATTGTTGTTTATTTTTTTTGTCTGTGTGAATGTCAAGTGTTCTATACAGGACAACCTGCCAGTATAAAGACAATGCCCTTATTTACTGGAACTTTTGCAATAAACATTATACACAGGAGAATTGAGAGGCAGACTGCCAGACTGTCTGTGTGTATTGACTGCATGCTAATAAGGCTAAAGATGGTTGTGTCTGTCATCCACGTTATACATAGACTTTTCTGCGACAACATACTACTTAACTCAATTCACAAAACCACCCTAATCTGTGGGAAAATTGCAACATTGAAGTGTTTTTAAGTACACAGAGAGCTGAAGGCTGCCTGAGTGTTTCAGGAAGCGGCTTCAACGCGACCTTGTTAATGGTTACGGTTAGTCCTGAGTAAAGAGAGGAAGTTGTTGAGAAATTCAAACAAATATTTCTTATTGGTTTGAGACTTTAACCCCCTGCCTATGAGAAATGGGTCAGGTGAGCATATTTGAACACCGGAAAAAAAACATGTGGTCAACGGTTCAACCTGTTTTTAGAATTGTTCTCAGTGGGTTTGCTTAGTCTACACGCCAGGAGCCTACTTTCCCCAATGTTTACTAGCTGCTTTGGATATTGATACGTTTTATATTTTAGAATAAAGGATGTCTGTCAACGAATAACAGGCTTAATTGTTCACGACACTAGCAGGACATTATCATTACAGGAAGTGTTGTTGCTGAACACAATTTGATGATTAGTCTAATTACAGGGGGAGGCGTCCAGGTGAAGCTGCATTTCATGATTTTCTTTCTGACCTTTACTCCAATTACACTGCAGAGACATTGTTTAAGGGTTACTAACAAGTTAAAAGAAAGCAGCACTAACTCCTTTTGTTGATTTGTGCCGGATTAAAGCATTCTGTAAACGTTCAGTGCACTTCCTCAGAATAACATTCTGCAATATCATGCTGCCATATGTGACGTTTGTCACTTTTTTGGAAATGTCTGAATTCTTATAAAGAAGTTCATACCATACTGAGTGTCTTTGAGAAAGGCTTTTTGTTATCCTGCCATCACCTTGGTAAAATTCTTTGCCTAAGGGGGAACAAATAATGCACTGCCGGATGGGCCCGTCTGAGCGTCCACAAGTATTTCACTTTCTTACCCGCTCATATTTGTGTTTATAAAATCTATGATCCCACTTTTTATACCAGAAAAAATCCTAACAAGACAGGATTCTGATGTTGGATAATGGCACTGGAAGGTTTTATGGGTTAGGCCTTGTTTTCTTTGCATGTCAGTGCCTGTGTTTCACACCGTGGACTCTTGGGTGTGTTTGTGAGCGTGTGTGTGTGAGAGACGGAGAGAGATTGAGATTTCTCATGCTTCGCTGGCACTGGGGGGAGTGGCTGAGTTTGACGTCACCAACTACGGAGTGTCACACCATTCTCAACACAAAGTTGCTTCCTCCTACCAGCACATTCACAGAGCTGTACAGCAACAGTTTTCTTCTGGCAGGATATGGCGAGGACACTGACTTAACTAGTACTCAACTCTTTTTGGACCATATATTCAAAAGCTGAAGGGAACTATTACAATCTTTTTTGGGAATTTTAATATCTTACTGACTTTTGTTAGAACTTTTTGGCTTTGATGGTATGGAGTCAGTAAGTATAGCTTAGAGATAAAGAGTGGGGTTCTTTTTGTATAATAGAAGGAAATGCCTACTGTTAGTAGGTATATGAGTTTTCGTTCATCAAAGCGATTTAAAGTTACCAGGTAAGATTGTCTCTTGTTTGTTTATAGTCATTTTCTAAGTTTGCTTGCTTTTAAAAAAACAAACAGAAATAGAGGCTTTCTGACTCGTAATCGTTGTTGGTAACCTCATTAAGTTTAAGATTCACATCTGTAGGTTTCACAAGATTATTTATTCTTCCATGAATGTGCAGCTTGTTTGTTCCTGGCCCTGGAAAAGTTATGGCCTTAAAAGAGCACTTTGCCAATATGTAAATTCAATTAACTAAAAAAAAAAATGCCAGAGGCTTGTAAATCTAAGATCATGAGCCGACGTTGATGAGCTTGTAAAGTTGCTTGAAGGTGGAATCGTACAGCCACGACTAGAGCACTGACGCAACGTATATCCATGAAACTTTCTCATTGGAATTTTCCGACAGATCATAAAGAAACACACTGTCTCCCAAATCTAAGTCCCCTTATCACATGTCATGTAAATAGAACTGACCTCCAAAACCATAACAAGGTTCTTTAATTAGTCATACGAACATAGCTACAGTGAAGTTATGCCGTTGAAAATCTTATGTCACAGGCTTCTCCAACAGAGCAACGCAAAACACAGAAACAGAAAAATATAGCGCTAGTAAATACAAAAAGAAAAAAAGTTTTGAAATAGTGCAATAAGAGTCTATATGCAAGTTATTGAAATAGGATATATAGATAAATAATGTTTAAGTAGCAGCCAGATGAATATTAGGGACGGTGTTTCAACTTTTCAGGTGTTGAACAGATTTAGCTTCAACAGTAAAGTGTTTAACTATTGTTGGTGCTGAATGATGACACTCTGTAGAGTTCAGGAGATTGTAATATGTGTGTATGCAGAGAAATGTAGGTGGTGGCTGGTCTTCCTCTTTTTGTTTCTTCATGTTCTCATCATTCATAATCTCTATTCATGTTTTTTTGTAGCTCACTGCGATGAATTTACAAGTTATTACAGTGGGGAAGTTGGCTGTGTAACATCTTTTCTCTAACCCTTTTTAAAGAGGCCTATTTCATGTGTGCATTAGAAGTCTTGTAAACTATTATTATGCATGTTGCTAAATCTCCTTTTCTCCTCCTCCCTTTCCAGCAGCTACCCAGTAGAAAGCACTGGTGGCGGGCTGCCAGCCAAATTGAAGAAAAGCAAGAGCAGCTCCAGCAATGGCAGCATCAAGAAGGCGGAGAGCAGGAAAGCTTTGAGCCTAGAGGCTGCAGAGCTCGAGGTCCAGCAGCAACACAAAACCCTCACCAGACAGGAAGCCATCAGGTAGGAAGGACTGAGGGGAAGAGACTGGGATGTATACAAAACGCCTTCCAGTAACAAGCCTTAAAATAAGTGATGACTCTCGTGACTCCTAAAGTCTTATCCGATATGTTGAAATACTTTTTGTGTTAATTGAAATGCAGACAATTGCATAAGGTGAACAAAGCTATTCTGGAGAGTATCACAAGACCAGAGCTCCCTCTCAGCTGGTAGTCGTGACACACTCATGACTGAACAGCTGCTCCACACCGACTGTCTTCTCACATGATTCTAACATGTGAGGTATATCGGTGAATTTATAATATTCATCCTGAATACTGCCTTCATGACAGAGAGATTAACCTGCTACTTTCCACATATGTTATTATGAATTGAGGAACTCCAAGTTCAGTTGTATTCTAAACCCCAATTTTAAACTTGGAACTCTTCAGATCGACTTATAAAAGGAACAATTGGATCTCTGCGATTTGGTGCTACACTTTGGTGTTTGTTGCCATCATTTTATTCAGAATAAGCTACATTTTCAGTTAAAATAAACCTTGGATTCAGTTTGCCCTACAAAGTAACACATTCAAGTACTTTGATGCTCGATATACTTCTGGTGCCACTTAAGTACAAAGGACGTCATGCTCAATTTAGTTTAGTATACAAATGACTGGTACTGCTTTCCCACGCTCTTGCTTTTCTCGTACTCATGTGGCCTCTCGGTATGTTCTTGCGTAGCTGTAGCGACAGACTTCCTGTGAAATGACAGCTGTGATCTTTGTCTCTGCAGGTCGCAGACTTTCGATGTTGACAGCAGAGCGTTTGAGAGGACGGAGGGCACTGGTTCGCAAAGTGTAAGTATTACACGTTTAACGATACTTGTCAGGTGGAGGGCTACAGACCTTTTGTTGTACCAATGTCATTATTGAAATCTAACCTGATCCTAATTTCCTTTTTCCCTCTTTTAGAGTTTTATGAAGCACAACAAGACATTCCACAAATTGTTTCCAGACATTCCTAACGGCGAAGACTTGATACACGGTAGGTAAAAGAAAAGAAACGCATAATGACTTAATGAAGGACTCGCATAAAACTAAACATGATTCTGCTCCTCTTCTCCCAGCATACATCTGTGCCCTGCAGAAGGAAGTGCCCTACCACGGTAGACTGTACGTCACTGACACCAACGCCTGTTTCTACTCCTCAGTTCTGCTCCGGGACACCAAGGTAGGCTGTCCTAGTGTTTTTTTTTTTGTGTGTTTGTGTAACATCTCAATTGTAATATTTCTGGTGGTTTCATTACATCGTTCCACTTGTCCTAACAGTTTCTTGTTTCTTGCTTCTGCAGGTGGTTATTCCAGTTTCCTGTATCCACATAGTGAAAAAGCAGAACACAGCTTTACTGGTACCCAACGCGTTGTCCATTCGCACGACAGACGGAGAAAAGGTTAGTTTCTCTACTTAACTTCCACACAGCCATTGTTTGTAATACAGACTATACAGTGTATTTAATAAGCCTTGTTGGAGCACATTGAACTGTGCTTTTGATGTAAGCCAATCGACTGCTCTTTGTTTAATGGTTCAGGATGGCAGGTGGCTAATATTCCCTCTTTGCTTCTCTTCTCCCTCTCATTGTGTAGTACCTGTTTGTGTCCCTGCGGAACAGAGAGTCATGTTATCAGCTGCTGCGCTCAGTGTCTCCGCAGATAGAGGTGAGGTGCCCAAGTCAAATGTAAAAGAGTTTACAAATCTGACTATCAAAATGAAAGTAACATTTCAAAAATAAAAGTGTTTAATACATCTGTTAATCTAAACATTTCTCTTTTGATACAGGATGGTAGCACCAATAGTAGCCCCATCTTTTCCTCAGCGGAGAACAGCTTCGATAAGAGCAAACTGGTGGTAAGAGACCGTTTCTCAATAAAGCAAATATGTAGAATGTCATGCATTGACTCAAATATTACATTTTTAAAGGAAAACATAAATCTGATGGTGTTCCGTGCTCTCCTATCTCAGCAGAACTCCAGCCAGTCGAGTCTGGACGACAGCTTCGACCAATTCGATGGTTCTGAGTCTCAATCTTTACGGGAGCAGATTCTGCACGTACCACACAGAGGTGAGTCTTTTACCCCTCATTAACATCAACAGTAGTTAATTTAACAACTCTAACCAGTCATCATGGAAAGTTCAAAGTATAATAGCTGGCTAACTTATTTCTTCTGTCTCCCCTCTTCAGAAGCAGTGCCTAATGGCCATGTCCCGCCTTTCAGGAGCCTTCACATGCAGCAGAGTGACAGCTCATCCTCAGAAGAACTGTCCGTTTCAGGTAACACTTTAAGACCGCTTAGTTTTACTCCGCAGCCAAGTCCTGAAAAACAAGTTCCTTTACTAAAATTGCTGGTAGAGGAGACGCCTGACCATCATTTAGGTGTTTTACAGGCCTATAAAAAAAAAGCAGCTTGAGTCTCTATCCCCTATATACAGACATTTAGAAAGTCTTACTTGGAAGATGTCTATGTTTTGAATCTTGCAATGATATTAAGAAGTTTTCTCTTTGCTCATAGTGTTAGTGTGCGTCTCACTCTATTCATTTACAAAATATGCGTGTACTTTTAGTGCATGACTATCAGAACATAGATAATAAAGCTTTTGTTTATTTTCCTTTACTGTTCAGGTGGATCGTGGGTTTGGAGCGTGACGGAAAAGGCCAAGTCCCTGCTGGTTCAGAGAGAGGCCAGCACCCTCAACACTCTACTCTTTATATACTTGATCTTGTGAGTAGCTCTTCCTCACTTCAATGTTTTGTCTGCTCTTCTAATCTCCCTATGTGCAAATCTTAATCTGCTCCTCACTCTTGAAGTCACACTTATGAAAGGGAAGGCTGAGGAATTTCAGCAGCCTGCTGAGGTTCTAATGAACTAGGTGATCTTGTTGGATCTCATTGCATAAAGATAAATTCCAAGCTTGCAAACCAGTTTTTGGAAGCTAAAATTAGAAGTGCACAGCTGTCTCTTAAACCATATGTTAGCCTCTTAATTAAGACTTAAAGTCTTCTTTCCCCCCCTGCTTTTTACAATAAGAAGGCATTCAGTTTGAGAGCTGTAACTGTAATGTTGGCAGTGGATTGAGATAATTGATATGAAGTGTGACATGTAATCATTCTATTATCTGATCTCATCTAAGGACTTTACGAATATAGGCGTTCATTCGGTGTTAAGCTTTTGTTTGTTCTCTTTGTACCTGCTGTTTGCTCAAATCGCTGGCCTTTATCACAGTGAGTTTGACTCATATATGTTCCTCTTACAGGGTTGTGCTGCTGCTCTTGTCTTCTGGATACATTGGTTTACGTATCGTGGCCCTGGAGGAACAGCTGACGTCCCTAGGGGCCCTGCCTGAGTTCACCTTACAAAGCGGGTAAGTACTTATTTGAAAATGAACAAGCATAAACAACCCTGATTAGGATGGTTGGCATAGAGATGAAACACTGGAAGTTAGCAGCTGTTTTATCCATCCAGTACAAAAGTTCTGCATCGCTACACGGCACCTTAGAAGAATACATTGATAAAAGTCAGCCTTATTTGTGCACTGACGATCCTCATCACTACACCTTGCTGCCACTGGGTGGTCAATGTTGGGTACTGACTACGACACAAGAAAAAACTGAAGACTTACTCTTTTCCCCAATTATTCTTTACTCGCCCTGACAAAATTAATCTGTAGTTACAAAAATAAACATATGGTGTTGGCCTCAGAATGGCTATTGTAATGTTGTTTTCAGAGTAAATCTACATTGTTATCTTTTTAATCTAGTGTTTAAACTGTTGCATGATTGGCTCTGTTCTCCGTTAAGGACAATGGGCAAATTGATTCCTGTAAAAGGTGTTGCCTCAGAACAGTCATTCAGTATTGTTAGGCGTGTATTGCGTTTGCTTTAGATATGTCACTCAAAACTGGTTCCCTCTTGTGTTTTCACAGGTACCAAGACACATAACCCTCAGTGACTGAAGGAGAGATCTGTCCACTGAGGACTGGAGAATTTTTTTCGACCTCAAAGATTCAATGTACTTTAAGACTGTGCTCCTAACATGGCCTGTGCTGTTGGCGAGAGGAAAAATGGCCGATCTGTGCAATATCAGAACAACTCGTTAACTTGAAGGGCTACACTTCCTCATATTGCAGTTGACACATGGACATACCGCGACTAAGTCACACGGAGCCGAGCCAAAATGAAAACACACACTGCCTGGTTGCAGCGTGTCTGTCGTTGAAACCAAAGCCAAGCGGCTCTCAGCAATGTGCCACGCCAAGTTATGTTCTCCATCGTCCTTCCGACCGTCTACCTGAGCATGCAGTCTGAACAGGGCTACACCAATCAGCAATAGCCTGCTTTGGTGCTTATAATGCACCTCCACACCTGAGACGTAGTGCTATGCATAACCAAAGATGCACACGTCTTTTTGCATGTGTGCACGGAGATGATTTTGATATTTCGCTTATTTACACTTTCATGTGGAATAATCAGATCTGTCTCTGCTGGGTTATACCTCTCTGAATGGTTCTTATCTTATCAGCTGTGGGTTAAAATGGTGATGGCTGAAGCCTCAATCAGATCAGCCCATGGAGGCGTGAAACTCTCCTGATGGGCGTGTCCTTTCTCTCCTCCTCCAATCGGCAATGATTGCAGTATTACTTTCCTGTTCTTTGGCATGATTTAAAGCAGTTTAATAATCAATGCTCAGAGTTCATTTTCCCCTGCAGTCCCAGCTGTGGATGAATGCATCATCAATGCACACATATTTAAAACGAAAGGACACGCAGAGGTTGTCTCAGAGGCAACGATGTGTTTTTGTGTACGACTTTTTTACGACCTTCGTCTTTAAGAGTACATTTCAAATGTGTCTTGTTTATCCATGGCAGGCCTCTTGAACACCCAAGTGGCGTTTTATAGAATTTTCAGGTTGATTAAAGTAGCACCAATAATGTATTTTTAATGCTTATGCATGTGTCTGCAATATCGACACTTGACTGATACTGTATATGCGTTCTCCTTCTTGTCAACGGAAGAGGAGATTTGCAACCACACTCCAAGGTCCGAGTTTTCAGCAGTGGTCCCAGGAAGAAATTTCAATATGCAACAAATTATTATGCATGGCAAAAATGTAATTTATCTTTTGTGTGGCGTTTTTAAATGGAGCTTGATGTTTGTGGGGAAGAAATTGTGTAGGACAAAGAAATCAAAAAAAGATTTGAGTGAAAGAAACTGCTCAATCATGTGAGCGCACTTTAAAAAAAAATGTGTTGTGCCTGTCACAATCAGAGACTTCGTATCTTGGGTTGAGAAGAAATGGCAAAGCTGGCGTTCTGGTACCTGACGGTGCCCCAATTGTTTTCACTCAGGGGTGGTGGGCACTACCTGCCTCATGGTTTTAGGTCGTTGTCTTGTCTTTCTGTCATTTCAATGTCTAGTGGTTGTGACGGGGTTCACATTTTTGTACATCTTGGCTTGGGTGTTTTCTCATCAAATGTCCCATTGAGAAAGAATACTTGACTTTACTTATTGAGTGATGCAACTTATTCTCAGATTGCCGCCCCCCCCCAAATGAACTTTTAAAACGAAACCTTGCAATGCATATCCACCCACCATCTCAATGGTTTAACACCACTGTTGTAGTGGAAGCTGTTGTTGCCCAGGTGTAATGATTTGTTTACTACATCCTTTTTAAAGAGTCACACTCCATGTTCAGCAACATGTGATAAACAGTTCTGTAATTTCTTATATCCCCCACTTGGGGGCAGCACACACATCCACTGTCCTTGAATGGACTCGATGCAAGAATCCCAATGATGAGGGCAGTATTTGTGTGGTTTTGCACTATTCAAAGTGTTGTAAATAATTTTGTATCAAATGTTAATGTCCTTAATTCTTCTATGGTCCTCTATATTTATTTGCATTCTGTGTAATTCAAGGTAGTCTCTGTGAGATGGCTTTGCTATTGTTCAAAATAAATCAAATGTTGCGAAGTAAATCATGGTTCGTTGTTACTGTTCTTCAAATGAATGGAAAATTAACTTCATCTTATAAATGTGTCATGCGTCACAAGACGCATGACACATTTGTGGTGAGGTAATAAAAAAACAAAAAGCAACTTCAAATCTTTGGACACAGAAAAAAATGCAATTGCTGCGTAACGTTATCACACTGTGGTTTGATAGAAACCTGTTAGTGCTCTGGAATTCACCTTGTATTACTCGGACTGAATCTGGAGGTGTGTGAATACTTTTACACTGAGAAATAAACTATTGCTGTTCACATGTAATCATCATTCTGTTTGTGAAAGGCTGCCATACCATGATATTGAATCGCAAAGTCCAATTAGCTTTTTAGAGATATGTGAAAGTACATCTTTTAAGCAAAATGCGCCAAGACCAGGGGCCTCATTTACAGGACTGTCTCAGAAAATTAGAATATTGTGATAAAGTTCTTTATTTTCTGTAATGCAATTTAAAAAAAAAAAAAAAATGTCATACATTCTGGATTCATTACAAATCAACTGAAATATTGCAAGCCTTTTATTATTTTAATATTGCTGATTATGGCATACAGCTTAAGAAAACTCAAATATCCTATCTCTAAATATTAGAATATCATGAAAAAGTATACTAGTAGGGTGTTCAACGAATCACTTGAATCGTCTAATTAACTCGAAACACCTGCAAGGGTTTCCTGAGCCTTGAAAAACACTCAGCTTGGTTCAGTAAACTAAATCACAAGTATGGGGAAGACTGCTGATCTGACTGCTGTCCAGAGGACCGTCATTGACACCCTCCATCAGGAGGGTAAGACACAAAAAGAAATTTCTCAAAGAGCAAGCTGTTCACAGAGTGCAGTTTCAAAGCACATCCACAAAAAGTCTGTTGGAAGGGGGAAATGTGGCAGGAAACGCTGCACAACCAAGAGAGATGACCGCAGCCCTTAGAAGCATTGTTGACGCGCACAACACACAGACCAAAGACAGACACACAATGTACTCTCCTACAGCAAAACAAACTACTACACCAAATTAAACAAAAAACCCAAACACCCACCACGAATCCCACAAAAAACAAAACACAACTACAATATAAAACACAAACACCAACCCGCACACAAGACAAGACACCCCTAACACAACACCAACAAGCACACACAAAAACCACAAAAACCACAAAACCCACTACCACCGAAAGACAGTCAAAACACACA